CACCCACCTCTCTCTTCCTCTGTCTCTTTCTTTCCATCTCTCCATCTCCTCCTCCCCTTCTCCTGAAGATGCAGATTCCTGGGGCCAATCATAAGAGAAATGCCGGGGACTACAAGTGGGGTGGGTAGGCTGGGATGCTCCCCCTGTGCACGCACCACACACTCACTCACTCAGATTGACTTCCTCTTCCCTCCCCCACCCTCAGACTCCCTCCCTAGCGGTAGGTGCTCAAGGAATCACAAGGTTCTTGGCTCTAAATTAAGATCCAAGAAAAGCTCGGAGCTGTGGGCAGAGGAAGTGAGAAGGAAGGAAGCCAGAGAAGTGAGAGTAGACCCTGGGGTGGGGACCTGGGAAGTTGTAAACAGGGGCTAGGGGATACAGAGAGAACCACTCTGAGAGTTTTTTCCCCAAAAGGATGCTCAGCGGCAGTGAATCCTGGGTGGCAGCAGCATAGGTGGCAGCCGGCAGCCTGGGAGGGGAGACGGGGGTAGAACTGGTGGGTGAATGAGCTGGGGACGTACTCAGGGCAGGGTTAGGGTGTGACAACTCCCTCTCTCCTCCAGTAAAGGCTGAAATTCTGGGTCACAGCTGAGGAAGATCTCGGACATGGAGTCCAGGATGTGGTAAGTTTGGCACAGCAGGGGGAGCTTGGAGGCCGTTTTCCTGGGGTCTTGGCTGTTTCCCTCCTATGCCCACCCAGGGCCTTCTATCCTGAGGGCTAGACCCCAGGAAGTTAGGAAATGGGGCCGGTCTTCCCAAGGCCCACCTGCTTTTGCAGAGAAACCTGGAGGGAGGCAGCCTGGGATCTCTGGGATGAGCCTGTCCTCCCCACACAAAGGCCCAAGATGGGCTTGTGCCTCAGCCACTTTCTCTCCTTTCTTGCAGGCCTGCACTGCTGCTGTCCCACCTCCTCTCTCTCTGGCCACTGTTGCTGCTACCCCTCCCACCACCTGCTCAAGGTTCTTCCTCCTCCTCACCTCGAACCCCACCAGCCCCAGCCCGGCCCCCCTGTGCCCGGGGAGGCCCCTCAGCCCCACGCCATGTGTGCGTGTGGGAGCGGGCACCCCCACCAAGCCGATCCCCTCGGGTCCCAAGGTCACGTCGGCAAGTCCTGCCGGGCACTGCGCCCCCTGCCACCCCATCAGGCTTTGAGGAGGGACCACCCTCATCCCAGTATCCCTGGGCTATTGTATGGGGCCCTACAGTGTCTCGAGAGGATGGGGGGGACCCCAACTCTGCCAATCCTGGATTTCTGCCCCTGGACTATGGTTTTGCAGCCCCCCATGGGCTGGCTACCCCGCATCCCAACTCAGACTCCATGCGGGGTGATGGAGATGGGCTCATCCTTGGAGAAGCACCTGCCACCCTGCGGCCATTCCTGTTCGGGGGCCGTGGGGAAGGTGAGTGGGAGTGGGAGAGGCTGGTAGGGATATGACGGGCGGGCAGGCTGGGTGAAGACTCTGAGGGCAGCAACAGAGGCTTTGTTAGCTCCTTCCACAGACGTGTCAGGCACTATGCTGGCACAGGAGGCAGAGATGAAGATGCCAGCCGAGCCCTCAAGGAGCTTGGGTCCACTGGAGAAGACAGAGGTGTACATACTCGGGGGATGAGTCAGTGTAATAAATGCTCTGACAGAGGCACACACAGCATGTTCTCAGGAAAGGAGAGAAGGGAGGGACCACTTCTGCCTGGGGATCGGGACCCCTTCCAAGAATTGACATTCGAGCTGGACCTTGAGGACGGAGTGGGAGTGGAGTATTCCATGCAGAGGAACCCCATGGATGAAAGGGACCTCTGGGGTGAGATCTTGCTCAGGGAATGCTGAGACAGGGCCAGTGGCTTGAGGGTGGAGCCAGGGAAGAGGTGGACATTTCCACCCCCTAGTTTCTGTGCAGAGAGAGGGGTCTTCTCTGACCTTGGAGCCTCCTCCTCATCACAGGTATCAGAAGACTTGGGAAAGTAGAGGAAAAGGATTTGGGAGGAAATGAGCTGAAAACTCTCAGGAAAGCTGATGATAAGAATAAAGGGGCAGGGGCTGGCCCTGTGGCTGAGTGGTTAACTTCACATGCTCGGCTTCGGTGGCCTGGGGTTCGCCGGTTCAGATCCTGGGCGTGGACCTAGCACTGCTCATCAGGCCATGCTGCAGTGGCATCCCACATAGAAGAGCTAGAATGACCTACAACTAGGATACACAACTATGTACTGGGGCTTTGGGGAGAAAAACAAAAAAAGAGGAAAATTGGCAACAGATGTTAGCTCAGGGCCACTCTTCCTCACCAAGGAAAAAAGTATAAAGTGGGGAGGCTCCAGAAAAGCAGAAAGAGCTTGGCAATGTGAATTCAAATGGCAAAAATCCTTAAGCTTCCTGAACTGCATCCCTCTCCTCCCACATCAAGCCTCCCTAAAACTTTCTCCCCACCCGAATCAGGTGTGGACCCCCAGCTCTATGTCACAATTACCATCTCCATCATCATTGTTCTTGTGGCCACTGGCATCATCTTCAAGTTCTGGTAAGCTGGGCAGAGGAGGGTGCTGGCAGATGGGGACTGAATGTTTGGCAGTGTTTAGGCAGGAAGGAGGAAAGGAGCAAAGATGGCAATTTTGCTGGAGGTGGGATAGGAAGTGGTGGATTAAGGCAAGACTTTGGGGAAAGACAGTAAGGATTTGGGTGGGGGGAGACAATGAGAAATCCAGGCAGATTCCTTCTCTCGGGGAAATACAGGATAATGGGAGAGATGGAATTATTTATGTGCACTCGGGGCTCTGGTGGGCATCCCATGTCCCCATTTCCTCCAAGAGAGAGAAAACGGACCCATTCTGCAGAGCCCCTTCAGAAGGGAGAGGAGGGAGAAAGTCTGGAGTTTTCTTTGCATGCATTTAATAATGGGTCACTCACTCCTTCACACTTTACTGAGAGAATCATTAGACTCAGGTGTCCAGTCATTAGCTGACTTTGATCCAGAACTAAACCTGCCAGGCGCCTGCTGAGGAGAGAAATGGCCCTTCTGGGTATGCATGGGGGAGGGGGCAATTCTGGGGGACTCTGTTTGTTGGTGGGGAGGACATACTCATTCTGTGGATCTGGACCAGGTCAGGAGGAGGTTTAGATCCCCGAGCCCTCTGAGGTGTAGGGGAAGTGGTTTTGTGGACACACAGTCTCAGGAGGCTTGGTGTTGGGATCTGTTAGAGGCCGTTTTCTCTGCTGTAGGATGTTGGGGGTGCCCGAGGGAGGCTAGGGGTGACCAGCACTGCTGGCCCAGGACGGGGGCTTCTTATACGTGTGAGATAACCTTTCCTTCTGTGCACCAGCTGGGACCGCAGCCAGAAGCGGCGCAGGCCCTCAGGGCAGCAGGGTGCCCTGAGGCAGGAGGAGAGCCAGCAGCCACTGACAGACCTGTCCCCAGCCGGGGTCACTGTGCTGGGGGCCTTTGGGGACTCGCCTACCCCCACCCCTGACCATGAGGAGCCCCGAGGGGGACCCCGGCCTGGGATGCCCCAGCCCAAGGGGGCTCCAGCCTTCCAGTTGAACCGGTGAGGGCAGGGGCAAAGGGATGGGAGGTTGGGGAGGGGAAGCAATGTAGGTCTCCGGGGCTGTGGTTGGAGTGCTGCCTCCTGGGTGGGTGGGGAACAGGCAGGCCTGGTGCCTCCACAGCCCCTGGCCCTCTCTGGGGACCTATGTCCTGTTCTCATGTTGCCATTTAAATCCAACTCAGCCCTCTTAACCTTGACTCCCTTTCTTTTTTGTTGGACTTTCCTTGATTCTCTCTCGATTCTCACCTACCCCTTGGTTCCTGACTGTGCCCTTTCCCTCTTCCTCTTAGGATTCCCCTGGTGAATCTTTGATGCCCCTCAACGTTGGGGTGCCACCAAGCAGGAGGCCAAGGGGCTGGCATAGCCCCCATCCCATTAGGGGGGACAGCTGTGGGAGCTGGGGCCACAGGTGCTCCTGGCTCCCGCCCTTGCACAGCACCCTGGAACACTTACTGGCCCATAGGTGATCCTACCTGCTCACCCTTCTTTAGGTGGGGGCCTCACATATTTGTGGCTTCTGGACCCCCATCCCTACCCTTGCACACTCACATGAAAGCCTTGCACACTCACCTCCACCCTCACAGGCCATTGCACACACTCATGCTCTTGTACAGCCAGTCTCCAGACCCTTTCCCCATCTCCCTCCCTGCCCTCTGCTGACCCCTCCCTTTCTCCCTTTGGTTTCTCCTTCTTCACTTTCTCTTCTTCCCAGGTTCCATGCTCAGCTCAGTCACTCAGAGGTCAGTGGGTGACTTCACTGTCACCTCTCTCATGCACTTCCCGGCCCCATGTTGTGGTGTTGCGTGTCGTGCTCACACTCTCCCTCAGGAACACCCACTGATCTAGTTTCTGTGGCCCCTGCATGCTGCCCCAGAGGTGGGTGGGAGGTGAGCTGGGGGCTCCTCGGGCCCCCAACTGTCATGGTCCCATGCCATTCCATGTCGTGTGTTTCACTGTCTCCCCCATCCCACTCCAAGGGTGCGCTCATTACCCTGAGGGCTCCCCCACGGGAATAGGGGTAGTGAGGCCCCAACTTCTCCCCCACCCCACTGCTAAATTCAATTGTCTGGGAGATGGGTTTTGGGGAGTCACCTGCTGCACTACATGAGAAAGGGGCTCCCATTTGCCCTTCCCTTCCTCCTAAGTCCCTTTTGTCTTATCTGTCCTGGCTGTCTATGTGTGTCACTCTCTGGAGTTCAGAGCCCCTGAGCCAGTCCTCCACGTCCCAGCCTCCCTGAGGGCCCCCCTAACTCCACCCAGGCTGCCAGGGATTGGAGCCCACTGGTTCAAGGCCATGGGGAGCTCTGCCTCCCAGTCCACCCTCCCCTTCCTAGGCTCCCTCACACCCCTCCTTCCTCCCTCCTTGGTTCTTCCACTCTGCCACCTTTCCCCTTCCCTCTCTCTTCCCCTGAGGTTTGTCCTACTTCTGTTTTTCCATCTTCCTTCCTTCTTCCTCTCTTACCTGGCTCCTATGCTGTGATATATATTTTTGTATTATCTCTTTCTTCTTGTGGTGATAATCTTGAATTCTTGTGGGATGTAAGTTTCAAAATTTTCAAATAAAGCCTTTGCAAGATATTCGAGTCCCTGGTTCTGCCTTAGGAGCCCTGCAGAGAGGAGAGGAGAGGAGGCAATGGGCAGCCAAGAGAGAGGGAAAGAAGGACGAAGCGGGTAGCCCCATCAGACTTGCTCTGTTGGGATTCGGGGCATTGACTTGGGACAGGATGGAAGGCAGAGAAACTGAAGGGAGCAGTCCTGATGACGAGGAGCAGCCGGAGCAAGAGAGAAATTGGAAGAGTGGCTTGCTTGTTACTTGCCAGTGAAGGTCAAGAGAGACCAGGAGAAAGGAGAAAGAAGAAAAGGGAAAATTACGTAGAAGGACGGGCAATGGAGCAAGCAAGGAAAGGAAGAAGAGAGAGCTGATAAGACAGATGAAAGGTGAAGGGTGAAAGGAGAAGAGAAAAATGGAGCGATGGGAAAGAGATGAGAGGGAGCCACAGGAAGGAGGCTGCCTGGCCTGGTTTATTTTCAGCCTTGCTCCCTAACCTGCCCCCACCCACAGCTGCCCCCCAAAAGCTGTGCAGCATTAGAAGCCCTGTGGTTAACACTCATTAGCTTTCCGCACTCTGCCTCCTCTGAGAGAGGCACTGCTGGGGCGTGGGGGTGGCATCAAGGGGTGTGTCCGGGGGAGGGCACACAGGCTGCCCAGCTGGAATCAGTCACCTCTGAGCCCCTAAGTCTAGGTTTGGTTCTCCTAACAGCCCTGCAAAAGCCCACACATCAGCCTCTCAGCTGTTGCTAGGCTCTGTTACCATGGTAACCACCCAGGTCCCATTTCTCCCCCCACCCCCATCTGTGCCCCACTTGCTCCCTGGAAATGGGGGAGCTCCAGGAGGAGAGGAGACTATAACGCGCGAGAGGGCAGTCTGGGCTGCCCTGGACTGTGTCTGCCTCCATGCGTTTATCTTTGCAGCTAGAATTAGGAATGTATATGTGTGGGTAGGTGCGTGTTTTAGGAGTTGGGGAGCTTTCCTGTGTATCCAGGGAAGTGTGGCTGAGTCCACGCAGCACACAATGGCGAGTGGGGAGGAGGGAGCGGATTTCTCAGGACCAGAGTAGTACGTACATTCAGGGTGTCAGACTCCCTAAGAAACTGACAGACTGCTACAGAGGAAAGAAGCAGAGTGGGGGGGCGAAGGAGTGATGAACCAACTCAAAGCAGAGGTGCGAGGCAAACAAGCTGCTGAGGAGGGCTCACAGTCAACCCAGTGGGCTGAGGAGATCCCTGGTGGAAGGGAGGGCTGGATGGAACCTGAAGGTGCAGGAAGAGGCGCTGATGGGATGGGTTGGGGGCAGTGAGAGGGGAGAGGAAGCCTCATTAACCTTCCCCTTCTTTCCCCACAGGAATCTCGTGGGGGGTGGGGGGGAAGAGGGGAGGGACGATGGATGGACAGACACAGACCACATGACTGGCATAGAAATGGAAGGCACTCAAGTGCCTGGAGGGCACCCTGGGCTCTATCACTTTTGTGACTATCGCTCTTCAGAGGGACAGTGTGACCCGGTGGCTCATCCATATGCAAAAGCCACACATGAAGGCCCTTAATGAAGAGGGAATCAATTATTGCCTGATTAGACTGCTGTTTCTCTAAATTTAAAATAAATTTAAATGTGCCAGCAAGACACTGGAGATCCTTACCTGTTCCCTCTCCCTAAATGCCCTTCTTCCCCATGAAAATCAGATGACAGAGAAAGACAGAGAAAGGAGTTGTCCTAAAAGAATTATCCCAAACTAAACTGCATTGTCATGCTAACCATGAAGAGTCTGTGAGGCTCTGGGGAACAGATCTTAACCTTTATCTCTCATGGAGTTGAAACTGAGACTATGGGGCCTTGGGAGGGCCTCAGAAGCCTGCAACTGGTAAGCAGAGAGTCACTGCTTAGTGACAGACGAAGAACATAAACAATGGCCTTACTACCCTTTTGGTTCTTGGGGGCCACGCATCATAGGCCCCACTGGGACCAGTGTCTCTCATCACCACGTCTTCTGTGCCTCCTGAGTTGTGCATCAAATGACTCAGCCAGGCTTCTCTTAAGCATTTTTCTGGAATACTTACCATTATGGCTCAGACCAAACCAGGGAATGGGGAAGCCCCCAGGAGGAGGGATCTCCCAGGCAGAGCTCAGGGTGTGGAAGTGATTCAAGATGGAAACAGTAACGCCAGCTGGAAAACCCCAGGCTAAAATTAACAGGCCTCCTCCCCCACACCCCACATTTATTTATCTAAAGCTTTTCTCTAAGGACTTCAAAGCACTTAAAACTTGCTTCTTACAGCAAGGGTAGGACCAGGGCTGACAGTTGGAGACACTGAGGCCCGGGGAGTACCAGTTAATGTAGACAGGAAAAGAATAGGGAAGAACCTTAACTATTTTGCTCTCACTTTTCTATCTCAGCCCCCAAAGTCAAAGTTTCTCCAATCATCAATCTCTGACCCATGCAGCAACTAGTCTGGTCACACCTGAGCCCTTGAGATCCTTATCCTGCCCACGGTTGCTTTTCAGTTAACACAGCCTAACTGCAGAGCCCAAAAATGTGATGAAGACAGTAGACACTTTTAAAAAGATACAAACTATGATTACAAGCCAAAGGTATGTATTTTCTATTTAAACATTTAATTTAAATATTTACTTTTAGGTGTCCTTCGCTACTTCTTTGCTGTGACCTTGGGAAAAATCACTTAAATCTTCGGAATCTTATTTTCATCATCTGTAAAATGGGCATTATAATTATTTCTATTAGGGTTATTTTGCTCTCTAAAGCAAGGCACTATTACTGTTAATAGGAAGGACTTCAATTCTGCTTCAATCAAAATAGAGCTGAGCCCGAGGGATTCTGGCCAGATCAAGATGTGGGCTCGTGGCTGCATTCATTTACTCAAATAACATATATTTATTCAGCATCTACTAAGTACTGAGCAAAGCAGTGGGAAGGATAGCATGTATGAAACAGTTTCTTCCCTGAGGAGCTGACAACCTTACTGAAGAGTTAGTTAAAACAGGAACAAAAGGTACAGACTAAATGCTGTAGGAATTCAGAGAAAAGAACTGTTATGAGTTGAAACAATGAAGGAAGGCTTCCCCAAGTGTTTCATCCTTAGTATTCATTTATGCAACAAACGTTTACTGACCTGCTTACTAAGTGGCAGGCTCTGAGGATACAGCAGAGAACAGCTCAAAGTCCTTGCCCTCACGGAGCCGAGATTCTAGTGGGAAGAGCTGGACAGCGAACAATATAAGATCAGGTAGCCATGAGTGCTATATTTAAAAGCAAAGCAGAGTGAGGAGAGAGAGATGTGGACGAGGACAACACGAACGTAGAGCCCGAAGCAAGGAGAGTAAGGGGTGTGGTCGGGGAGGGGTCACATTTTGATGGCTGGGAGAGGTTATTAGTTACTCTTTGGGTCTAAGTAGGGACCTCAGAAAACCACATCCTATCCTTTCCCGCATATTCAAAGTATTGAGACATTCTTGAGAGTATGAGAAAAAAGAACGGTAACTTCCGACATCAGCCTATTCCCCTCCGAGGGAAGGGAAACGGGACCCTAGTCTTTTTAAGAATCCACACCTCTCCTCGTACCTTGATGCATAATTCATGAACCTGTCGCGTCTCCACCCTCCCACTTCCCCAGAAGTCCCTTCCGGAAGCCCGGGACCGTTCCGAAGGTTCAGCTTCTGCCCTTAGCAGAACCCGCCTGCACTTCCGTCGTGCCGTCACATCCACAGAGGGTTCTACCGCGTCCCCTGGCAGAAGCCACTTCCGCCCGCACTTGTCGTAACTTCTGCCCTGAATGTCCCGGAGCGCTAGCAGCGCCGGATATGCGCTCCCGTCCCCGGAAGTGACTCGACCTTTGCATTCCCCCCCTTCCCCATCGCCGCCCCCTCTACAACGCTAGTTCCCTCCCTCCCCCCCGTTTCGTTTCCGCTCCCGCCTTCTCCTCGCCGCGGCTCTCCTCCGAGCCTGTGGGGGGAGGGAGGGGGCGTGGAGGAATTGGGGTTCCCGGGAGCACGAGCGGCAGTACCACTTCCGGGTGAGTGTTAGGGGCGGGAGGGAGGGGGCCACCCACTGCCTCGCGCCCCCGCCCTGCGGGTGTCTCGCGCGCGTTCCGTGCGTGTGAGTGTGTGGGTCTGTCTCGCGCCTAAAGTGCGTGCCCGCGCGCTCCGCCGCGTTCCCCCCTCCCCGCGCCCCGTCCTGGCCCTCCCGCCCCACTCGGCTCCCTCCTCTCCCAGCAAACGCCGCCCCTCCCGCGCTCCGGCTCTGGCGCCGCCGCAGCCGTCGCCGCCGGGTGAGTCTCGCGCCGCTGCAGCCGGCGCGCGCCAAGCTCTCTGCTCCTCCCCCCTCCCCTTTTCCTTGGGGGGCGGGAAGGGGGGGGGTCCACGATGGGACTGTATGTGTGTCCGTCCCGGAACCGGAAGTGGTTGTGGAGGAGCGGGCGATGGGGAGGAATGGGGGGGCTTAGGGGGCGGGTGTCTGTCTGGTGGGTGGCGGAGTTCAGCTCCCTGGAGGGGAAGGAGGGACGTCCCAAAGAAGGGTCTTTGAGGAAGGGGTGGGGGGCGACATCAGGAGAAGGCTCCCAGGGGCTGTCTCAGGGGAGAGGTGGTTTTCGGGGGACAGCTGGGGTCTCCAGTAGATAGACCACTGTGCAGGCTGAGGGAGGTACTTCTTGGCACAAGGCCTTGGGTAGGCAGGGGCGAAGTCCTCGCAGAAGTGGGGGGGAGGCCAGAGGAAGTGGCTGGGCCTGAACTGGCACCGTGCCTGACACAAGGGCTTGTGCATCCCAGTCCTCAGCTTTGCCTTCTGAGCCACTCCTCAGGGGGCAGGGACCCTTCTCTTCTTCCAACTCTTCCGTTCTCTGAACCCTGCTTACCTGTGTCCCAGGGGAAAGAAGAAGGACCAGTGTCTGAGCCCAGGAGTGGAACCCAAACACTGGTGTAGAGTTCATCTTAGTTTCTGGGAATTGGATTTATTTCCCTTGTGTCTACATAGGGGTGGCACTGCACTCCTCTTGTTACATCCTTGCATCTTTGGATTGCTGGTGGAGGGTCCACCTGCCTTCCTGACTGGCTGCTGACAGTCAGAGAATTCCTGAAGTTCTCCACAGTTCTCTGGTGGCTGCACCCTGACTGGCCCCTGTAACCCAGACAATTTGTTTACAGAAAGTTCAGGAGCCCTGGAAAGGAGAAAGAATAAGACGACAGGAGGAAGAGAGAGAGAGGGTAAGACAATTTTGGGTTAATGGCTCTTCTGGTTTGGGGGGAGAAGGGGTCATAATCAAATGGGCTTTTTTTGGACAATGTGACACAGTTCTTCAAGTGATAGCGATTGCAATACTGGTGTTTGCTGTGGGAGAGAAATCAGCCTTTTCTTATTATCTCTTAAGGGTGCCTAGGAACTTTTTGGGTAAAAAGTTGGCACTCTATCCCATGAAATCACTGAGTAGTGTTACATTGTGTCCAGCTGAGAAATTTTGTCTGCGTGGGGGAACAAATGGGCCCTAGTTGCCAGTATAGTCCTTGTGGCATAGCTTATGGGATTGCTTTTCTGTATTTGGAACAAGCAGAGTTTAGAGTGGGGTTCATATCCTTAACACTGCAGCAGAGTGTTGGAGTGGATTTGTTGAGTGATTAGAATCTGTGACACAGGGTTATTTGAATTTGATGTGGCAGGGTGAAGTTTTCAGGAAAAAACTGGTTTATGGGTAGTTTGGAGTAAAGTAGATGAAATCATAGGGGGTGGACTCCCAAAGTAGGTCTGGAAGAATTCAAACTATGAGGCTTGATGGTGATGGGGTTTTAGGTAGCCTGAAAATGACAGTGTATCCACCCAAAAGAGTGAGTTCAGAACTCATAATTCTATAGGTGTCTTCTAAGAACCAGTTCCAGGCTGGTTTATAAAATGTGTTCCCCATAGGTTTCTGAGCCAAGTTGATGATTAAATATTAGGTGCATATCCTGTTTTCTCCAGACATTTTTTTTCTGCCTTGCGTTGCCCCAGATCTATCACTTATAGTGGAATGGGCAGAGCAAGAGGAACCACTCTGCTGTTCTTCCCTTAGGGTACAGGGCACAGTGCTCCAGCAATGCCCAGCATAGAAGGTGCTGGCCCAGATTGCCACTACCTGGTCGAATTGGTCCTGTTGGTCTTTTTGGGCATGGTGTATTGGTCTTTCCTCGTAGAATTGGCATCAACCTGTTCTAAGTTATTTTGTACTTGGAAGAGTTTGCAGATAGTGGTTAGACCCCAAATCCTATTGGGATGACCCTTCTTGAATGTCCTTAGGACCGGAGAAAAAGATTGTTTTCTTACTGAGAAAAAAATGGTTCTCTGTGTTTCTTCGCTTTGAGTCCTTCGCTACCTATTGCAGCCTTTCTGCAGTTGTGCATTTTGGAACAGTTTTTCTCAACAGTGTGTCTGAGATCCGTGGGTCAAGTTCTTTCTGTAGTTGAATTTGAGTTGATTGTTCTGTGCATCTCTATTTCTTGTTAGTGCTTCTAGTTGGTGATTAGTAAGCTGGAGGCTATGGATCTGCTATTTTGGGTAGTTCCTTTGTAATTACGTGGTCTTTATATAATTTTGACTAATTGTCACTAATAGTCCTCATCACGTGGAAGTATTTCTCCAGCTCTCTTCCTTTCAGGACCACTTTTGAGCATGTTATTCTTTTCTTTTTTGTGCTGCCTCCAGCCTATCACCATATGCCTTAGGAATTTGTTTTAAAGGGTTTGTCCTCTTCCATCCTCTGCCCAAATAGAAACTTAGTAGAGTAGTAAATTGTTCAGTCATCCACTGATGGAGGACCTGGAATTAGATTCCAGAAATCTTGATTCCTAGGTCCATTCTCTAGCCACTAAACTGGGTTGGTGTGAGTATTTCATGATTTTCCTAAAGGTTAGTTGCGTTAAAGGAATTTTATTTTCTTGAGGAAAGAAAATCATGCATTATTTGAGAACAACAATTAAAAAGTTGCAGTAAGTACTGGGAAAGAGGTAGCGGTCTTCACCAAAGTCCCATGCTGGAGGCAGTGACATCTTTGTCCCTGGATGACTGGTAGCTCTGTGGAAGGATGGACAGGTGAATGAAGCTCTGGTGCAAGAGTTCAAGTCCGACTGTGTGTTTCGTGGATGTTCTTTTTTCTTCACCTCCTCAGTGCTTCCAAGATTTCTTTTGAGATTGGAAAGGGAATATATAGTTCCTTGAACCCTTTGAAAGAAAAGCATTGTCCAATGTAATTATGGTAAACCTGACTTCTTTTTAACAGAACATGGAGGCATGGGGCAGTGGTAAAACTGAAATTAGAACCCAGGTTTTCAATCTGTCAACATTCTTTCCACCTGTTTTTCTTTCTTTCCTGCTCTTTGGGGCTGTGATAGAAGCCTTCCACTTCCTTCCCAGTCTAGGGGAAACCAGTTTTGTTTCATTTTAATGTATTGGCATAATTATCAAAACTGGTGCTCTGTGTTGAGATGAGGTTTCCCCATAATATCATTGGGCTTCTTTGGGTTTTAAAAATGTTGATATTGGGGCCGGCCCTGTGGCCTAGTGGTTAAGTTCTCACTCTCCACTTTGGCGGCCCAGGGTTTCGTTGGTTCGGATCCTGGGCATGGATGTGGCGTCGCTCATCAGGCCACGCTGAGGCGGCGTCCCACATGCCACAACTAGAAGGACCCACAACTAAAATATAGAACTGTGTACTGGGAGGGTTTGGGGAGAAAAAGAAAAAGAAAAAAAAAATGTTGATATGTACCTGCTTGGATGTTGGGATGGTTTGGTGCGAGTTCCTCCATGAAAGATAGAGAGTTAGGAGGATAAGTGGCAAAACGGACAGTGAAGAGGGATTTGAGTGACTGGGCACCAGGGGCATCTGTCACACAACTCCAGGGAGTGCCATTTACGTTGTATTCTGGAAAGAGCCTTCCTTCTTGGCTCTCTGTTTGATCTCATTTCAGGGATACAGAGATTTAAGTCAGTCTTATTAGGACAGTGGTGTAGCATTTCTTGGGTGTCATTTTGCAGGCAAATATTTTGTTCTAGTTGGGCGAGCAGTACTCTCTATGTACCCCCCTTTTGGGGCTGACATATTTATTGGAAGCCCACAAGACACATTTTTCATTTTGTCCTAGGATTAGCTGTGGTTCTGGTCTTCAGCTTTGTTCTCTTAAGACCCAAAGCAGAGTGATAGGGGCCCGGCCCTGAGGTGGAGTGGTTAAGTTCGCGTGCTCTGCTTCGGTGGCCCAGGGTTTTGCCGGTTCGGATCCTGGGCGCTGACGTGGCACCACTCATCAGGCCATGCTGAGGTGGCATCCCACGTGCCACAACTAGAAGGACCCACAACTGAAAATGCACAACTATGTACCAGGGGGCTTTGGGGAGAAAAAGGAAAAATAAAATCTTTAAATAAAAAAACAAAAAGCAGAGTGATAAACTGGGTATGCGGGGAAGTGCAGGGGCCTTTTATTCTGTTTACCCCCCTGGACAGTCTGGCCTTGTTACTCAGACTCCATCATTCTAAAATAGTTTATCTTAGTGGCCAAGTGCGGTTTCACAGGATGTGGACAGAGAATATTATCTTTAACTGCATTTTGCTATTATCACAAACTTCATTTTTGTAAACATTTATTGAGAACTACCTGAAAAATGTATAGTCCATCCATTCCTGGAAATATTCTCAATGTTAATTCATGAGTCAAGCCGCAACATTAGAGAGTGTGCTTCAGTTGTAGGTTTTTAGTCTCTTGTAGACCCCCCTTTTCCTAACTTGCCCTTTGGTGCCTACTCTGCTGTTTATTGTTGGACTCTGTGCCTCCAATTTCCTCATTTGAAAAATGAGGATTACAATACCTACTTCATAGAATTGTTGTGAGGATTAAATGATGTTATAATCGTAGAGTGCTTAGAACAGTACCTTGAAGACAATTTAAGCACTTAATAGATATTAATGGTGATGGTATGGGGATATTGTCTACTACATCACTTTGCATGCCCCGTTTATAAGAGCCTACAGGTGATAGAAGCTGCTTCACCTGAGCCACTTGTAGGACAATATGAATGGATGTAATCTTTTTTGGGAGGGAGGGCCTTGTTTGCAAGAATCCTGTCTGAGAATGTTGTTATTTTCAGGCTCTCAGTTCCTCCCTCTTAAATTTTCACATCTGTAGTACATTTATTTTTTTGACTCTTTAGGGAGAAATGATCATTAGACCCTCCTTTCTTTTACCTCATTCTCTACTTCATTTCCACTGTACATCACCACTCTTCTCTGTTTTATTTCTCTCAACTAGAAGGTCGATGGAGGTTATAGATTAAGGTTTGAGCTCATAACATTATTTGCAAAATCAGTATGTATGGAGTGTGCTGTCATTCAGTTTATTAAATATGGAACTGCTTACTGGGTGATGAGTCCTACATTAGAGAGCATTGGGAGGTACAAGATCCCTGCCTCCCAGAAAGCTTGGCAAGATTGGATCCCCTTAAACTGTGATCTGATTGTTTCTTGATTTCTCCTGCCTGAGGAGAACCTGAGGCCCCTTTGTGAAGCTAATGCTGGAAGGAGAAAGCTTAGCGCCTGTTTCCGAGACTGTCTGGTTTTACTCTATTTTATAACTTGGGAAACAGGATTTGCTTGTGGTTGATCCTCAGTCATTTAATATTGAGCCTCGTATGTGTGAAGCTGTTGTAGTCACAGATTCGGTGCATTCCACTCCTCTCCTTTGCTACTTTCTAGGAAAAAGTAGGCTGAAATTCAGTTATGCTTCCCTCTATAGGATTTATGAAAATTGAGGGTGCTGTTTAGTAGAGTAAGAAATGTGATGAGATGTCTGGAGAAGGATAAGGAACAGGGTGACATTTAGAGGGATATCCTTTCTGCTTCAGCTCCTTTGTTGAAGAGCTTTCCTAGTTTCTATAGTCACTACTGGAAACCCAGTTTCTGTGCCCAGTCTGCCCTCCAGCTGTTAGTATGTCTGGTGTCTGCCTCAGCATATCCTCAGCAGGACTGGGACCATGGCTCTAAGTCACAGGTCCTTCTTCCCCACCAGAGTCCTGGTTGCTTTTAGGCTCAGAGTAGCAGCATGATGATAATGTTCGTTCCCTGCTGTTCCTCACTTCCTTCCCCATTCCCTCAGTCTCATACTCCCTCTTCAACTGCCTTCTGCTGGGCTGGATTTTTCCTGGTCTGTGATTTTGGGAAGCTACTCTTGACCAACATACTGCCAATTAAGCCTTGCTGGGAGAAGTAATCAGAGTGAAAATGAGTGGTGGGATGCCTGGATTTGGTACCCATCTGTGACTTGCAGTGTGATTCTGAGGGATTGCTTTTCTTGCGTATTCCTCACTCCCAAAGTTTTAAGCTTTGTTATTATGCACGTACAGAGAAGAACTTGAACTCTTAGAACCATAGTGTTTGAGGACTATAAAGCAGGAATCTAGTAATGTGTATGTGTTCTGGCCTACTGTTGTCCCTATTCTGAATCTCTTTAGGTGGAAATCTGGGCTGCTGCTGTTACTGCTGGTGCTAGAACCCTTTTTTAAACTGGGAACTCCTAGATTCTCGCTGCCCAGCCCAGTGTATGTGGTACCCAGTGCAGCACCATGGATGGGTTGTGGTCTCCAGGTATTATCTGGTACTCAGAAAATACCTCGATTCTGATCTTTGCCGATTTCATTCTTTAATTCCCTTGGGTATTTTGTATTCTGGCCTAGAACCTTTTCAAGCTGCATAGAACTATAGATGTGTCAATTGGAATTCTCGAAATTTTTTATTTCAAGGAAGATGGATTTGAGGGATGAAGGAAAAGAAGAACAATGATAGGTACCCTGGCTGTTTTCAGACCAATCAGTGGTTTGATTTGTGGGACCTTGGGCACATCCCTTCCCCTCTGTTTCTTTAGGGTATGGGAAACATTCTATCGGTAAATGAGATGTATGTAAGTTCTTTCATCTGCATCTTAACTAGGATAGCCTCTGTTGGATGGAGATTTAGTGCTGAGTGGCTCTGACCAAACAGACTAATATTTTAGATTCTAGGGTCTTGACTGCTAGTTTCCAGCCATGTGGTCAGGTGCCAGAAAAGAGACCAGGAATGCCTCAATTCCCCTTCTCCATTGCTGAGTTTCTTAAGATTTATTCCTGAGTGTAATGTGGTCTATCTTTCTTCAGGTAGAATGGAAGAATCTCACTTCAATTCTAACCCATACTTCTGGCCTTCTATCCCCACAGTCTCAGGACAGGTAGGTGGTGTTTGTTTTTTTGCTCCTTTCCTATTATGTCCTTTTTTCAACTCTGAGTAGTAAGTTCTATTACTTTGGAGACTGAAGCAAGATAAATCACATGCTGTTTCACTGGGTCATCCATCACGGAGAATTATGTAGTGTTTCTGTCTTGGCTTCTCTCTGGAAGCACAAAGATGTTAACTACTCGTTCCTTGATCTCCACGGAGGAGGACAGACAATGCAGAGTACTTAGGGAGCAGACAAAATCAGACTCTCCCTGAAAAGCCGCTCGCCTCCCCCTTCCTTTTCTTTCAGATTGAGAACACGATGTTCATCAACAAGATGAAGGATCAGCTGTTGCCAGAGAAAGGCTGTGGGCTGGCTCCACCCCACTACCCCACCTTGCTAACAGTGCCTGCCTCGGTGTCCCTGCCCTCAGGCATCAGTATGGACACAGAGTCCAAGTCAGACCAGCTGACCCCACATAGCCAGGCGTCTGTTACCCAGAATATCACGGTGGTCCCTGTGCCGTCTACAGGACTGATGACTGCTGGTGAGCAATTCTGCTCTTCTCCAATCTGAGGTGTTGATCTTCCATGATCAGTACCCCAGGATGGCGGGCTCCAAGGACATGGGGAGTGGGATATGTGTTTGATTACTCAATCAAATTTCTATTAAGTGCCTACTGTGTGCCTAGCAATGCGCTAGGCATTGTGGGGGATACAAAGAAGTAGAAGATGCGGTCCCTGCCTTTGAGGAGGTGACATTCTTTCCTTCTCTGAATCAAGGAGTCTCCTGTTCTCAGAGGTGGAGAAGAGAAGGGAGTCAATCAAGGGGTAAATCTCACTGTTACTGGGGGTGGGGTGGGGACAGGGGTTAGGAGACCATTATTTTTCTATAGGGTTTGGGGTTTCCTCTGTACTCTGGGCTGGGGGGTGGTGGTGTGGGGTTAATTAGACAATGATTTGGGGGAAATTAAACAGGATTAGGATCAGGACTGGACAACATGACACCATCTCCTTTTTCTCCCAACCCTAGGTCCCGGTTTGGTAATCACGTCCCCCTCAGGCTCCCTTGTGACCACAGCCTCATCAGCTCAGACCTTTCCCATTTCGGCTCCCATGATTGTCTCAGCTCTTCCCCCTGGCTCACAAGCCCTGCAGGTGGTCCCTGACCTCTCCAAGAAGGTAGCATCCACCCTAACAGAGGAAGGAGGTGGAGGTGGTGGTGGAGGTGGCAGTGTGGCTCCTAAGCCCCCCCGGGGCCGAAAGAAGAAACGGATGCTAGAATCAGGGCTGCCTGAGATGAATGACCCTTATGTCCTCTCCCCTGAGGATGATGATGACCATCAGAAAGACGGCAAGACCTACAGGTAAGAATCAGAGCCAGGGACAGGATCGGGTGAGGATCACTGCCTCAGCTTCCCTCCCTCCTCTTTGTCCAGCCCTGAGCCAGGCTCTGCCCTGACAGCTTTCCACCTCAGATCCACTTGCATGTCAGGTGTTCTGGCATGGACTAGGAGGGTAGAGCTGGCGCTTCTCTGGTGCCCCTTCTCCCAGGATGCAAACCCATTTCACCCCTTCCTTTTTGGGGTCATTGGCATTGACTGATTTTTGAGTGACATAATAGAGTTTCTTTCTTATAATAAGGCTTTAGGCTGGGTTTGAGACTCTGTCTCCAGGTCCTTTTTGCCTTCTACAATTTCCATTCCTATTTTTCCGAGAAACCTTTCTCGTAAGGCCCTAACCTTAACCCGTGTGCCATCCATCCACCAGTTCTTGGGCCATATTTGAGCACTGCGCCTGCCTGACCCTGCATGGTTGGGATGACGGGAGGGATCTATATGAAAAAGTTGGAGGACCAGGATACCTCCCTTCCCCCCCCTTGGAATATATGCTTATAGAATGACTGTGCACTTTCTAGTTCATGGGAAGTCATTTTGATTCTCCACTTCCTTTAAGTTGTCCATTGCCAAAAAGCATTATATTTGCATGTGGTACTATACAAAAATAATTACATAATTAAACTCCTTGCCCTTTGAAAGTTGGAAATGTCCTAATCCCCTTGAGAACTATCAAGGGATCTAGTGGGTTTGGGGAGTTTAATCCCAGTGTACAGAGTGGGGTAGCTACTGTCACAGCTTTCATGCAGATAGGGGCAGATGTGCATGGCTGGGAGACTGGGTCTGTCCTTAGTGTACCGAGATGGGCAATGTTGTTCCCATTTTAGGAGCGAAGGGAACTGCGGCACAGGAAATGGACAGAGCCTTGGGCTCATGGATTCAGTTCCTGGCTCCACCACGAACTTGCTGTGTGACCCTGGGCAAGTCCTTTTCCCCTCTCTGGGCCTCAGTTTCCTCATCTGTAAAATGGGGAGAATTCTGTTTATGCCTCCCATTTCTTGGGAGTATATATCAGATAAGGTTTGAAATGTTGGGAACTTCAAAAGAAAGCGATAAGAAATAGTCGTCATTTAGCACTTATTTTTGTGTTGTACACTTATACTGTGGAGAGTAGCCACGACTACAGAGCGTTTAAATCCTTCTTTGTAAGTGAAAATGAGGGGAGTGTTGCTATGCAGAAAGTATTGAGCACTGCAGAATTCCAGCTCATAATCTGAAAGTTCATTACAGCTTTATTATTACAGGTGTACCCCACTTTATACAATAAAAGTCTTCCTGGAAAATGTTTACATCATATCATATTATAAAGGTACCTGACAAGTTTGATTCATTTAAAGGCATTCTTTTATATATCATTTCATAAAATGAAAATCCCTTTTAAGTTTATTCGGGGGACATCTGGATTTTTATGTATTTGCTTAAAGCAAGGTTATTGTGACATGGAGATACACCCATACAAAATTTGTTGCTGTAGGAGTGGTGGGAGAGTTCTCTGGCACCCTGTGGAGCCCTTCACATTGATCAGGGTCCTCTGATTCTGCCAAGGCTTTTTTGTTTGTTTGGTTTTTGGACCCACATTAAAGCTATCTCTGGACTTCCCAAACTGTGTATATGGAAAGAAATGTGAAAATACAGTTGGAAAGAAGCACTGATAGGATTTTCCACACCCTCAGTGTTTTTGGAATTCTTGACAGGCCCCAAGCCCAGGTGACTAAAGAGAACTCTGAAATGCAAGGGCAGCTACTTATATTGTAGGTGAACAGAATTTCTTTAGAAACTCAGAACTCCAAAGTTCAAAGGAATCTTTTTCATCACAGAGAATCCCTATTTCGATGCACATGTGGGTCAACCACATCCATTCCTGTGGTCAGTGGCATTTGACTGAGTCTTGGGGGAATTGGGTTCTGTTAGTCTAGGCAAGTCAGCATATTTCTAGCTCTTTGTTCCCATCTGTAAAATGGGAAGATAATCATGGCCCTCATCTATCTTGTGGAAATGTTTTGAGGGAAAAATCAGAGTATTTGAAATTGTGTTTGAACATCTTAGAAAAAAGTGGGATGATAATTTAAAGTGGTTGTTGTAACTAAGGCCATTGCATTGTGTGCCTCCATGGGGGCACCATTCTTGTGTCGGATATGAATGATGCGGCAGGAGTTACTCAGTGATGTAGGGGCTGGCTTTCTCTCCCCTGCTAATTGCGTACTGCTAAATCACATTTCTTTCTGACCACCCAATACCTTGCATTAAAGGACTTGTACTCTTTTATTTGGCTTCCTAGGATTTCAGAGTTGGAAATACTTTAATGGTCACCTAAGCCAGTCCCTTCTCTGTAGTTTTGGTTTTCTGAACATTCCTGGTAACTGTTGATCCAGGCTCTCCTGAATACCTCTGGTGTGAGGAATCTTAAATTAGATTAGAATCACCTTTTTGTGGTGAATAACTGTTTGCCCTTTGGCAAATTACTTAACCTTTCTGAGCCTTTGTGTTCCTTTATGTAAAACAGGGATAATACTTGCACGGTTGTTGTGAGGAGTGGAAACAATGTGTTTAAAGTGCCTAACTGGGTGCCTGGCAGTATCGGGCACAACAACAAGCGGCAACTATTCTCATTATTGTCATCATCGTTATTACACCTAGGACTTTTGAGACTGCTCATTTTGTTGCCAGTCCATCATAGATGAATTTAAGTTTTGCAGATTCTTCTCTAGTTGAAAACTTTGATGAAGAGGGTTATTTTTCTTTTATAATTAATTGCATATTAAGGATACAGTTGTGTGTTCAACACTCACACACAAACTAATGCAATTTTGTTTGAGTTAAAAAGAATGTGGTGTTCTACCTGTCTGAGAAATTTTAGCAACCAAAGGAAATTCTTTTGTAATTTTAGTACAGTTCCCCTCCAAGTAACAATGTGTCCAGTTTCTAACCTCAGTCTTAGTGAAATATATAGCAGCATGAGCTCAGCCATCAGCACTTGTGCTGTTAACATTAATGCAGTTTTATTATTAGAGAAATTTGGCTTACCTTTGACTGTCCTGGGTGTTTTCTGGCCCTTCTAGGGGCAGATAGTTATCTCTCCATTTTACAGACCAGAAAATTGAGGTCTAGACTGATGAGCAAGCCTATAACTGAACGCTGAGTCGGGCCCAGGTGTCCAGACTTCCATTGGCTGTCTTCCATTGGCTGTGTCCTTTGGACCATGCTAACTATAAACAGACCCTCCCTACCTCCCATACAATGGTTGGGCATCCCAGACAATGGCCAGGGATTGGTAAACTGGTAATCAGATTTTCTTCAGAGTTGTCAAGTGACTAGAGAAGTAGAAATTGGCTTTAATGATTAGAATTTTAGTAGAAGCATTAATATAGGGATCACACTTCCAACCAACAGTGATATCTTTTTCTCTGAGGAGCTCAGAGTTCTTTTTAGTCTTGATCTCAGTTATTCTCTAACAGTTCTCCTGGGATCAGAAAAAAAACAGAAATCATCCCCTGGCACCATCTCAAGCCCCTCCTATGGAGATAAGTTGGGGAGGACCCAGAGAAGAGGGACTTTCCCCAGTCGCCTGGCTTCCAGGCTGTTGCCCTTTCTACTAGCCCACATCGTGCACTGATGAGTTGTTTAGGAATGATAGGATTCCAGGTCATATACAGATAGCTTTTTTACCCCCTAAATAGTTGTGGCTCATCTGGTGCAGAGGCCTCATTATTTGATATTCTTGGGCAGTGTCAGAGCAGGAAGAAAGCTTACCAACTCAGGTGATGAGTGAAAGTATATTCAGATGCTGTTGATGTCAACCCAAAGTGCTGACGTTGGCTCCATGTGCTAGGAAAGAGGGAAGATTGAGCATGGAATGCTCAAGTGTTTTGTAAAACTTTCTCCTAAATATTTGAGGGATACAACCCACTTCCAACAGTGACCTTCGCTCATTGCAGAAGTCGCTCTCACTTGATTGCCAAGGGGCTGGAAGTTGGCGGTGGTTGGTGGAACATCAGATACAGGGTAGAGGCCAAACGTATATGGTTTGGAAAAGCCCTTCCAAATACGTCTGATACTTCCCCACCCCCATCCCTAGGAATCACTGGCAAAAGGGAAGTAGGAGAAAGTCTGAGAGAAGACAGTTATCTGAGGAGGCAGGAGAGAAGTCCTTCTGGGAATCTAGTCAATGTGTCCTCATTGTCATCTCGGGAGCTTGAGGAATACCTGAGGGATGTACCTTATACGTGGGAAATTGGGGAAAAGAGTTCTTTAAAAGTTTGAAATCGAGTTATAGACAGAAGTTAACTGATACTCCTGGCCCAGTGAAATCTACATCAGCCCAGAGACCCTAATAATATTTTCCTGTCTTATCTGTTGAATTATTTTTGTGCACACTTAGGGAGTCCAGTCATTCAGCGGACATTTATTGAATAGATTGTGCTTGGCTGTGCTAGAAGCTTAGGTCATAAAGAAAAATAAGAGAGAGATCCTCCTCTCAAGGGCCTGTAGTTGAAATAGGAGAGAGATCAGATAGGTTGGCTTCTTTGGAAGTGGAGGGGAGGGTTCAGCAATGCCCTCTTGGTGGGAAGGCTTCTAATCGCTGCCCTCACTTGGCCCAGGTGCCGGATGTGCTCACTGACATTCTACTCAAAGTCGGAGATGCAGATCCACTCCAAGTCACACACCGAGACCAAGCCCCACAAGTGCCCACATTGTTCCAAGACCTTCGCCAACAGCTCCTACCTGGCCCAGCACATCCGTATCCACTCAGGGGCTAAGCCCTACAGTTGTAACTTCTGTGAGAAATCCTTCCGCCAGCTCTCTCACCTCCAGCAGCACACCCGGTAAGGCTGCTCTTGGTTTTACCCCACCACCTGGCTGTGAACCCCTCACCCTGAGGCCACGGTGCCTGCGCCTGCTCTTCTCTCCATGTGTTTTCTTTGTTCCCTTTCGACTTTGCCCTTTGGGAGCCTCAGTGCTCTCCCATTACTGTCTGAAAAATAAAGCATATATCCTAGCAGTTCGTGGCGGGGGGCCTGGAAAATTGTGGTCTCCAATCCCAAAGTCTGGAACAATTTTTGTGGTTTCTCTGTGTGTCTGTGTTTGGAAATCTTCTGCAGAGCAGGCCCTGCTTTTACTATATGCTTCAGTTCAGAGCCAAGGTGTGCATTCAACTTCAGGTCCATGGGGAACAGGCGGTATTGGTCTTTGTTCAAATTACTATTTGGAAGCAGGGTATCTGGTGAGTGTGTAACCTTAGAATAAAGCGGAGGGTTGACAAGACTGAAATTTCTAAGGTTACCAAGAGCCAGGGGTTACAGCTCTTCATCATCTCACTGCCATTCTAGCCACCGACTTAAGATCAGCAACAACCTAGATCTGGGTGTCCTCTTCATTAGCCTATCCAGGCCGGAATGCGTTTGGGAGGAGGGAGGAGGGGGTGCTCTCATCCGTCAAGCAACATCATTTCACCCAGCAGAGAGCTGAGCCCATGGTGTCGAACTGCTTCCTCCTCCCCCCTTCCCTCCTCTCCTCCCCGGCAGGATCCACTCCAAGATGCACACGGAGACCATCAAGCCCCACAAGTGCCCGCACTGCTCCAAGACCTTCGCCAACACCTCCTACCTGGCCCAGCACCTCCGAATCCACTCGGGGGCCAAGCCCTACAACTGTTCCTACTGCCAGAAGGCCTTCCGCCAGCTCTCCCACCTCCAGCAGCACACACGGTAAGGGAGAGTGGCGGGCTACTGCCCCCGCCCCGCTGGCATGCCCTCCCCACCCCCGCCCCGGACACACACAACAACCCGCATGCGGGGGGCGGGGGAGAGGCCTGGCTGGAGGAGAACACGACTGGCGACTGGCGACTGGCGTCTGGGAGAAAGAACAAGCAACAACACTGGAGACAAGTGGATGCTCAGCCTTTCTGGGGCGGAAGCTGCGTCACGGAGACGCAAGGACTGTAATGTTCCCTGATCTGGGGAGGAGGAGACTTTTACCTCAAGCAGAGACAACTTTTCTTGATTTCTCTCCCTGAAAACACCGATGCACACATCTTGCAAGATTTTCTCCTTGATGCCAAAGCTGGGGCATTTGATTGAAGAAGACCATACCTCTAGCCCTTAGGGCACCAATTATGAACAGGAAATATAATCAGACTTTAGCTGGGTACCAGCCTGGTGACACCTACAGCAACAAGCAAGGCTCCAAGGGACGCCAAGAGTAGAGAACAAACAAAACATCCTAAATACTCACGAAGAACAGGCAAACAAAATGAAAAGGCTTGTACTGCATATGGATGCCCACTGTTTGTCCCGTGAGTCTAGAGTGACCAAGAAGTGAACCTGCCAACTACAAGAGCTGATGCTCTCCTTCAGTGGTATCTCAAGTTGAACTGGAGTCCAGACTCTTAACTGGCCATAGGCCTTCTCACCCAGCTGCTTCCGAATGTGATGATTTTCCTAAAGTGGTCAGACATCTTGCTTTGCAAAGAGGAGGAGTTGGGCTTTCTTCATAAGGAGACATGGCCTGCGATGTTTTCAAGATTTTAGACCAGAGGTCCACAAAAGCACCTGATCATGAAGATGGTTCTGAAGTGTCTGAAGAGGAGCAGGTGTCTGTCCACGCACCCTCAAGTCCTTGGCTCATCTCACTGGAGGGCCCTGTAGTGTTTGGGAAAGAGGTCAAATTGGTACTAAACTTGGCATTTCCTGCTGTTAGGGGACTGGACTGGGAAAAGCCCCAAGGAGTTTCCACGAGTATTGATATCACTGCTACTTTCCACAATTAGCATAACTTTCTGCTTTTCTTTGACACCAGAACTTTCTCTGAGAGTGGTGCTCAAGGCTGAGGGCATGGTTTCTGACTGTATGGTGGGGGCCAAGGAAGAAGTGTTATGTGTTTCTTTTTCCTTACCATTGTGTTTATCTTATGTTTCTGAACATTCATCAGGGACAGTTACTGTAGGAGCTGACTTGTATGCCATATTGTGGACTGCCTGTCCCTTGGCTGCTGAGCCACCAGTCTCTCCTCCCCTGCAGAGAGGAGCCCAGCTTGAGCTGAGTGATGCAGGCAGTGAGCAGAAAGCAGGCACCACGGCCTGATCCGTGTCAGAGTGGAGCTGAGGCTGTGCCTCCTGGAGACCTCGTACTCCCATAGGAGAGCAGGAGTGGCCTTGAGGAGGTTTGTTGTGGAGCCAATCCCCAAGTGGCCTCACTGACATCTTTTCCCTTTCTTCTTTTCTCATCCCATGCAGAATCCACACTGGTGATAGACCATACAAATGTGCACACCCGGGCTGTGAGAAAGCCTTCACACAGCTCTCCAATCTGCAGGTAAATGTTCCACCCTCCACATGAGACCTTGAGTCTAAGACTTGGGGTCGACGTGCCATTTGACTAGTAGAGTGATTCTCAAACTTTCTCAGGACCCCTGTACACTCTTCATAATTATTAGGAAACCCAAAGAGCTTTTGTTGATGTGGGTAATACCTATCTACGTAGATGTTGTGAAACTGAAAAACTTGGAAAAATATTTAGTAATTTGTTTAAAAATAGTAAATCCATTGCATGTTAACATAAATAACATATTTACAAACACCCCCCCCCCAATTTTGCTGCTAAGAATGGCATTGTTTTACATGTTTGCACGTTTCTTTAACGTGTGGCTTACCAGAAGATGGCCATGCCCTCCCGTCTGCTGCATTCAGTCTGGTGCACGTTGTGTTATTGCTGTACAGTAGTGAGAGGGAGAGGGAAAAGGCAAACACTGTCTTTTTTTTATTTTGGGGGAAGATTAGCCCTGAGCTAACTCCTGCCAATCCTCCTCTTTTTGCTGAGGAAGGCTGGCCCTGAGCTAACATCCATGCCCATCTTCCTCCACTTTATACATAGGATGCCTGCCACAGCATGGCTTGTCAAACAGTGCCATGTCCGCACCCGGGATCCAAACCAGTGAACCCCAGGCCACCAAAGCAGAACGTGCGCACTTAACCGCTGCGCCACCGGCCTGGCCCCAAACACTGTCTTATTATTATTTTGAAAATAGTTTTGACCTTGTGGGCCCCCTGAAAAGGTCTTGGTATTCCCTAGCAAGCCCCGCACCTCACTTTGAAAACTACTATTGGGACCAGGCATAGCTGTTACTCTAACTTTCAGGATCCCGGTGTGTTCTGCATGTGTGTTCTTCCCTTAGCCTGCAGCTCCTGAAGTTTCATTTGAAGCAATTTCTTTTTTTTTTAAGATTTTATTTTTTTCCTTTTTCTCCCCAAAGCCCCCGGTACATAGTTGTATATTCTTCATTGTGGGTCCTAGTTGTGGCATGTGGGACGCTGCCTCAGTGTGGCTTGATGAGCAGTGCTATGTCTGCACCCAGGATTCGAACCAACGAAACACTGGGCCGCCTGCAGCGGAGCGCGCGAACTTAACCACTCGGCCACGGGGCCAGCCCCTTAATTTGAAGCAATTTCTACTGCCTACAGATGGAAAGAGAACCTGGGAGGTCTGACACCCAGCTCAGGGCTCTCCATTAAGGTCAAGGAGGCAGGAGGGAAGAGTCCGATGTACTCATCCTGATTTTCCCCAATTTTCTCAGTCCCACCGACGGCAGCACAACAAAGATAAACCCTTCAAGTGCCACAATTGTCATCGGGCGTACACAGACGCAACCTCACTAGAGGTACACCTATCTACGCATACGGTGAAGCATGCCAAGGTGTACACCTGCACTATCTGTAGTCGGGCATATACGTCGGTGAGTGCTCAGTGCCTTCTCTTTCCTTCCGTGTGGGCCTGTAAGACTATAGTCCACTTTACCCCATCTTTCTTGGTAAAGATCTGTTGCAGTGAATATGTTACCTCCCTAGCTCCAACTTACCCAATCAGTAAAGAAAACAGAAATTAAATAGACCTGTAGCTGAGGAATAAAAGGGATGCCTGATCCCTTAAGCATATAGGGATTGCCAAGCAATGTTTCTTCATTTTATTTAAACATAAGGCAAAATAAAGCAACTTGAAATTGTGGGAGGAGAAAGATTTCAGTTAGATGTTTTCCATTAGATTCCAGAGAAAGGTTGTAAAGTTGTTCCATTCAGAGATCTTTGAGAAAATGACAGCTTTCTCTGTGCCAGTTGAAAGCCCATGGTGACTAAAGGTTCCCCTTCTTTTCTACCCAATAGTGAGCACTGAAAGTGGCTCCTGGGGACAACGCGCCCTGGCTCCAGAATATCTTTGTAATAAGTCTTGCACTATATAAAGCAAAGTAAGAGCCCAGGATGCTAGTTACAAGTGACCTCTTTCCTTCTCTTTCATCCCTCAACTCCTTTTTACCATCTCCCTCAGGAAACGTACCTTATGAAACATATGCGCAAACACAACCCTCCTGATCTCCAGCAACAAGTGCAGGCAGCAGCAGCGGCGGCAGCAGTGGCCCAGGCCCAGGCTCAAGCTCAAGCCCAAGCCCAAGCCCAAGCCCAGGCTCAAGCCCAAGCCCAGGCCCAGGCCTCCCAGGCATCGCAGCAGCAGCAGCAGCAGCAGCAGCCACAGCCACCACACTTCCAGTCCCCTGGGGCAGCCCCCCAGGGTGGGGGTGGTGGGGACAGCAACCCCAACCCTCCACCCCAGTGTTCCTTTGACCTGACCCCGTATAAGACGGCGGAGCATCATAAGGACATCTGCCTCACTGTCACCACCAGCACCATCCAGGTGGAGCACCTGGCCAGCTCATAGAGACCTGTGCTGCCACCCACTGGGAAGAGGGGGAAGAAGTTCTGGTCCCTTCTTTCTCCAACTCCTCTTGGTGGGAAAAGTCCTCTTCTTCCTTGACAGGCCTTGGCTCCATTTCCTTGGGCCTCAGGCATGGCCTTCCTTCACAGGATACCATCTTTATTCTCAACTCCTCTTCAAAAGGAACATCAGCCTCCTGATTGGCAAAGGAATACTGAGCTGGTAGTGTGATCCAGCAGCCTCCCCTCCCAAGCATAGCTTTCAAAATTGGGGGTTGGTGCTCAAGGGAGGGATTTGCTATGACCTCATAGAAACTTTTCCAGTGTGGGCACTTACTCTCTCCTTACCCTCATAATCCTCAAGGTTTGGGCTGATAGAAGACTAGAGGCTGGCCCTCCCAAATATCAGAGAGAAGGGAGCCCTAAATGCAACCAGCCTCCTGTTCTATTCTTGCCTGCGAAAGAACAGGTTTCTTGTGTGCCCCGATCCCTAGGAGCCGTTTTCTTCCCCTCATGGTCTCATTTCACTTCCTACCTAATGCTGGAAGAAGGAGATCTGGGTGGGGGTCAGACCCCCTTTATTTGTAAAGGGGCAAGGGCTGAGATGTGGTCCCCAAGGGGCCAGAGATCCCCAAAATGGTCAAGGGTGGCTTAGAAGTGTGGGTTATGGTTTTCCTTGGAGCCTCTCCCCTTCTCTGCCAACCAAGGCCCTGTACTCTCAGTCTCCCATCCCCAAACCTAAGGAGCTGTGGGAGCTTTGTGTTCGTTATGAAACCCAAAAACCAGGGGTGTTGCAGAGAAGGGAGAGTTCAGGGCAAACACAAGGACTGGACTTAGCTCCCTAGGTGCCACGGTCAGTTGCCGGGCACAAATTTATATATATATATAAATATATATAAATATATATATATATACCCACTCATCATGGCCATCTTTGTTGTAACCATTTCTGTGTTTATAAATGCATTATCTCTGAGAATTTTCATATTTGACGTTTTGTTTATTTTTGTCCTTTTTGTTTTTCTCCACCCTGTCTCCTGGCCAATGGCATTTTTATTTTCTTTTGTCTTTTTTTTTTAATCATGACAGATTTCAGAGAAAAGAGAAAATGGAAAAAAAATCAGGAAACCAGTTGTTATAAAGCAATTTAAAATGAAGAAAAAAAGAAAAAACTTATGTACAAACCAAGGGGTGTTTTTAGAGCCTTGTATAGAAATAAATTCGTGTAAAAGGATCAGAGGCAGTGGAGCTACTGATGTGAGTGAGCATGGGAAACAGCTATTGGGGAGGTGTTCGAGGCCAGTTCTAAGGGTTTACACTAGAGTGTGTGTTATGTGAGGACGAATGCTGTGTGATGAGGCTCTGTGTGTATACCTAGCCATAAACCCCCTGTATTTGTAAAGGGGCAAGGGCTGAGATGTGGTCCCCACGGGGCCAGAGATCCCCAAAATGGTCGAGTGGCTTAGAAGTGTGTGTTATTTGATATTTCAGATTTGATATTTCTGAAGTGAAATCTGGGTTTATGAGGGTTTCTACACACAAATCCTGTCATGGGGACTGCAATGCCTAAATATGAGAGAGCAAGGTTTCAGTCATGTGTTAGGAAAACCACCAAGCTCCCTATCAAAGCAGTGGAAGCATGGCTTCTTGAAGGATCTATACCCTGCCTGAGCATCAGTGGGCTCCGTGCTAATTGCAGTTGGCATGTGTGTACATGCATGTATTCATCATTCTGTGGCACCTAGAACCAGAGGTTTCCTGTGGTGGAAAACATAACCAGGATCGAATAAAGACACAGGACAGTTGTAGTGCCGAGGAGTAGTGTGGTCAGGAACCCTGGACTTCAGCCCTGGCTCTGCCATCAGCGAGTGCTGGCCAAGATGCTTCTTCAGCTGTTAAATGAAGGAATTGGACTAGATTATTCCTTTTTGAGAATTAAAAACCTTTAGGCACTGAAAGAGTGACAGCTCCCCATCTGATACTGCGGCTCTCCTCCATGGGACTGCTGGGCACCCATGCTCATTACCTAGTGGAGGGTGGATAGCAAAGGAATGCCCACTTAATTTAGGACTCTGTCTCCTGTGTGGGCATCCAAAATAGTCTCAGTCTGTAGTGTGTTTCTAATGAATGTAGCACGTATGACCAAATGTGCTAGTGTCTGTTAGCTTCCCAAATATTTCCTGGTTTTGCCCCTGCTCTCACCAACTCTTGAAAAGGCCCTGACGGCCCTACCTTCATCACAGGCGTGAGAACCAGAGTCTGCTCTTTCTAAGGATACATTCGCACTCATAGCAACAATCCTATGAGGTAGGTACTGTTATTCTCATTTTATAGAGAAGGAAATAGGCACAGACATTAAATTACTTACCCAGGGGTGTGACACTTATAATTTAGAGTGAAGTCGTCTAGATTCTGTTGCTGTATCTTACCACCTGCTCAGTAGTAAACGTGGGGTTTCGCCTTATCCTTCCTCATGTATTTGGTCTAAAGTACGTGGCTGAAAACTTCCATAAAACCTGCCATGTGACACTCGTAATTACCAAGAATGTGTGCATTAGAGGTGACAGTGACCTCCCAAACACTGTCTTACTAACACCGCTGTTGGCTTATGGGCTTTGAGCTCCGTTTCCCTAGTGTGGAGGCAGCCCTTCATGCACTCGATTGCCGTCCATCTCGATGAAAAACGTGGTTTTCTTTTACTGTCGGGTGGTGGCTGGCACCTAACTGGCCCGGTTGTGACAGAGCGCCAAGCCCCAATCCTCTCAGGATCACGGGGCTAGTTAACGTCATATATAAACTCGAATAAAAGGAGACAAAACAGGAGGGCAAGACCACAAGTACTCTGTCATTTTATATGTGAGAATGTGTTCCAGTGTTCAAGGACAGGAACCCTGACAAAAGGTGTGGAGAATTATAGCTTCATTGTGTGACTTTATATTTATAAGTAGAGTTTATAAATAGTGAATTTTTTTCCAAGTTAAAAAATAACCCTGGGGAGTTGGTGTTCGTGCGACCGAACAGAAAAGCGGAGGGTCTAAATCTCGCAACACCAGCGACACCTCCCAACTTCCTTAAGAAACTAGCTACCTTGGAGAGTCTTGATTCGTGGGACCTGCGCTGGGCACCAGATGCATATTTTGCAAAAGGGAAATAAGATTCTTCAGTTGCTGAAAAAGGATATTTCTGTAATACAATCCTAAAGTGACAAGTGTTGTTTCTCTCATTACCGCAAATTCCCGTTTTGGAGGGAAAAAAAGTTTGATAGAGAATGCAAAATGGCGACCTCCAGCGACGTCATGCCCGCCGCGGTCGCGTCCTGGGGTCGCAGTGAGGGCGGAAGCGGGCTAAAGCCGCCTCAGGGCGCTTGGTTACCGGCCGTCGTGGCTCCCTACGCAAAAGGGCAAGTTTCAACGTCGGGCGGATGTGTCCGGGCGGAGAACTTAGTGAGGGCGGAAGTCCTCCTTGTAAGGGCGGAAAGGCTCTACCCCAAGAATAATAGCTTCAGCGCCCGTCGCGTTTATGTCACTTCCGGGGCGGATCGGAAGTTGCTTTGTTTTGCTTCAAGATGGCTGCGGGGATGTATTTGGAACATTATCTGGACAGTAAGAGCAGGCTGGAGGAGGGGGTCAGGGGTCATAGAGTGGTGGGGGGCATCGGGGCTGAGAAGATCTATGGCCCCGAAGTCCCGGTGGTAAGAGGGTCACAATTGTGAAGGGGTTCTGTGAGAGAAAGGGTGGGAGGCTATTAAGAAGGAGGGGGCGGGGCAGCAGGGTTGAGGCCTCGCTTTGGGGTGTAGACGAGGGAGGGGATGCGCGGTGGGGCTGAGACACGTCTCTTGAACGGGTAACGGGCGTAGCTGGGAAGATATTTGCTGTCCCCATCTTTAGGGTCTCCAGCCTCAGGATGTTTTTTGTTGTTTTTTTCAAAATGGTTCCGAATCTGTCGTTTTGGTATATCACCCACCACCATTTGGAGCAGCGACAAAGACCTGCTCGCGGCTCCTCCGCTCAGTTGTTTCTCAGAAGCGGCTTTTCATGGGGATGGGGGGTTGTGAGTGACCACTGTCATGTGATGAACTGGAACGTTTCTCTACTTGGAGTAAAAATCCAATTCCCACGAAATGGAAATCTGGTGTTACGTTTGCCATTCGTGTAACCCATCCCTTCACAAACCTGTCATCCTCTATGCTTACATTTGTCTTACAGTATTGAAAGTCATTCATTCGTTCATTTATTCATTGAGGTCCTGCTATGGGTCAGACATAATGGCAGGTACTGAGGATATACGAAAATGAGTAAGACACAGCCTCTGCCCTCAAGAGCTCATAGTCTAGTAGGAAACAGATTCTGCTAATAAGTAATTATAAAACATTGTGACAAGTGAAATAATAGAAATACATTAAAAGGACAGTTGGTGACACTGGAGAAAGAGGAACTAATTACTGGGGATGTAGGTAAAGATTTTCAGAGGATGTGATGTTTGAATATAGTCTTGAAGCTTGAGTGTTTGTTTGTCAGCGTGGGGAGGGAAAGGGAATCGCAGGTTGAGGGAAGCATCAGCAAAGGTATGATGGGTTTGTGGCAAGGTCAGGGAGAAGTGAGGTCAGAGTGCTAGGTATATAAGACTCAAAAGTCAGAAGACTGGAAAGTGAGACCGGCGAAAGAGGCTAGGGCTAGATTGTGCAAGGTCTGTTAAGCTAAGAAGCTTGCACTTTAAAGGTTTTATTTTTCCTTTTTCTCCCCAAAGCCCCCCAGTACATAGTTGTATATTTTTAGTTGTGGGTCCTTCTAGTTGTGGCGTGCGGGACACTGCCTCAGCATGGCCTGATGGGCAGCGCCATGTTCACGCCCAGGATCCGAACCGGTGAAACCCTGGGCCGCTGCAGCAGAGCGCGCAAACTTAATCATTCGGCCACAGGGCCGGCCCTGAAGCTTGCACTTTAAATAGTGAGGAACCAACAGCTTTTTAAAATAGAGTGGTTTTTATAAAGGAAGACAACTAATGTGTGATACACTGGAGCATGATAACATTGGTAATAGGGAGATCAATTAGTGGTAACAGTCCAGGTCAGAGATGAGGACTTGATCTCAGGGAGTGACATATGACAGGACTGACTGAATGAACAATGGAGAGAGAAGGAAGAATCTAAGGTGGCCTCTCGATTTCCTGCTTGGGAAGTGAGGTAGACAATATATCAACAAGACAGGAAATTCAGGAGTTAACAGCAATATATTTAATTCAGTTTGGACTTACGCATAGGAATGATAATTGTATCCATGAATGTGAATGAGATTGAGATCATTCAGGGAAAGCAAGTGGAATGAGAAAGTGAGAGGATTAAAGTGTAATCTTAAGAAAAACACCAAAGTTTAAGGAATAGGCTAAGGAAACGTCAGTGTTGGAATTACCAGAAAGTATATGATGAGATTTGGAATCCTAAGAAGAAGAAAGTTACTCGAGGGAGAGAAGATGGTAGCAACTGTTGCGACGTAATATTTAGGATAGGACTGATAACAGATCATTTGAGCTGGTAAGTTGTTGGTGACTTAATCTCAGTAAACTGATGGTGGCAGACCTGAGGTTATAGGTTAAAGTAGTGGAGGCATTTTAAAAGTTTGAAGTGGAGTCGTGGGAAGAGATTTTTCTTTTGTGAGAGAGACTTAAGTAATTCATGCACTTATTCAGGTATTTATTGAGGACCCTCTGTATACAAGTCATAGTTCTAAACACTAGGGAAATAGGAGAGAAGAAGACAGGCATGTCCAGCCCTTTGGAGGGCCAGGGAGGCAGATACCAAATAACTAACTACACAGTTAGTTATTTAATTAGAATTGGATAAATGCCAAAAAGGGTAGAGCTAGAATAACTTGACAGCATAATCCAGGGCACTTGCTGAAGTCTGGGGAAGTCAGGGTTGAGCTGAACTTGGAAGAATGAAGAGGAATATGCCAGAAGGTTTGGTGGAGGTGGGGTGAAGAAGCCTGGGCAGTGTAGTCCAGGCAGAGGGGGCAGCATGTGGAAAGCCGAGTGGCAGGAAGAGCCCTGGCAGGTTCGAGGCACTCTGGAAAGGGCAGTATGATCGGAGCGGAGAGAGCGCAAAGGGGCGGCTGACATGAGTTAAGGCTCCTGTGAGGTAAGCAAGGGCCAGAAAGTGCAGAACAGGAATAGGAATAGTGCAATAGGAAGTTATTGGAGGGTTACATGCAGGAGAGTGACTTGATCAGATTTGCTTTT